GCCGTGGAGGTCAGAAGAAGACTTCGGATTCCCCCGGAACTGGAGTTAAGGACAGTTCGTAGCCGCCATGTGGGTGCCAGGAATTGAACCCAGATCCTCTGCAAGAGCAGTCAGTGCTCTTAACTGCTGAGCCATCTCTCCAGCCCTGGAAGCTTCTTAAAAGAGCTCTTTAAGTTCCTCCAGTTTTGGGGGTGGACTCTGGGGAAGAGAACGCTCAAACTTCAAATAGCTGCAGTGAGGATGGATTTGAGGGCCTGGGTTTGAATCTGGATTCTGCTGTAGTATTTTTCTGCAAATTCCACAGAGATTCCAGGCCCCCAGACTCAATTTCTCCTTTTGACATAAGCATGGAAGGTTGTTAGTCATTCGACAAACAGTCCCTGGGCACTGACAGTATGTTAGACATGGTGCCAGGCACTGGGACCCAGCAAGGACCAGCTAAGGTGGGATGGACACTCTCCCGCTTCAGACTGCAGTTGGCAGAGCTGGAGGCCTCAGAGCTGGAGGCCGCCCTGTGTTATAACCACACAACCACGGGGAGGATGAAGGGACTGGTGTTAACTAAAGGGATCTGGGAAGGGTAGGAATGAAACAGTCACATGAAGACTTGGAGGAGGAGCATATAAGTTGGGGGGAATCAGTCAGTGCAAAGCCCTGGGGCAAAGGATAGGGCTGTGCAAAGGCCCTGGGGCAGAGGATAGGGCTGTGCAAAGCCTTGGGGCAGGATGGATCCTGCCATGTTGGAGGAGCATCAAGGAGGCCCCTGTGGCTGGAGCAGAGGGAGCGCGGGACAGAGAGGCAGGAAGGAGAAAGGAGAACGGAGTCTGGCGGGCGGAGCAGGCAGGGCCCTATGGGCTGCGAGGAAGATTTGGGCTTTGACCCCTAGGGTGGTGGGAGCCTTGGAGGGCTGTGGGCAGAGGGAGGAGCTGCCGTGCTCATGGGCGCCCTCTGTCTGCCTGGGGGAGGATGGACTGTGGTAGCCTGGATTGAGCCAGGATGCAGGGGGCTGTGCAGGGTGAGAAGCAGAGTGAGAACCTGAATCCACACGCCCGTGACCCTTACGACCCCCTCCTTGTTAAAAGCCTTAAACGGATGCCGAGAAATTGAGGATGGCTGGGCTCAGCATGAGACCTTATGTTAAACCCCTCTCCCTAAAGAAAACCGTGTGGAGGCTGAGGCAGGAAATTTGTTCTCTATAGGTACAGCTTTGTGGGCTGAGGTCTCCCAACGCTATTTTTTATTTATTTATGTATTTTTACTTTATGCATATGAGTGTATTGCCTGCATGTAAGTGCACCCGTGACATGCAATGCCCACGGAGGACAGAAGAGGGCTTCGGATCTCTTGGAAGCTGAGATATGGACAGCTGTTAGCTGCCATGTGCGTGCTGAGAACCCAGGTCCTCTGCAAGAACAGCCAGTGCTCTTAACCACTGAGCCATTCTTCAGCCCCCAAACGCTATTTTTTTAAATTTTTAACCTTTATTTACTCATTTAGTGTATGTATGTGAAAATCAGAAGACTTTCCTTTCTCCACCATGCCGGTCCCAGGGCTGGAACTCAAGCCCTCAGACTTGATGGCAAGCCCCTTTACCAGCTGAGTCCTTTTGTTAGCCCCCCCACAACACTTTTTTTTTTCTTGAGACAGGGTCTCCCTGTAGCCCCAGCTGGCCTGGAACTCACTATGTAGACCAGGCCGGCCTCTGCCTCCTGAGAACTGGGATTAGAGGCGTGCGCTGCCATGCCCAACACAACACTCATTTTTTCCACAAGGGTTCATCAGTAAGTAGGTACCTGTCCTGCCTCCCAGTGCTGTCCAGTAGGTGTCTGGACCCCAACCCCTCTTGAGGTGGCCATCCTTTTGGGGAGCTGTTTGAAAACCCCTGGTGTCTTCTCAACCTCCATCAATGGAGTTCCCTCCTTTCTGATTTCCCAGAATGCCAATTGGGACTGAAGGGTGAAACCCAAGTCTGGATGATAAGGACCTGGGTGTGGGGTCGGGGTCCCCAGTAAGTGGTAGCATCTCTTGGTGACCAGGACTGGTGGGGTTCTGATCTCAGGGAGTGGCGGCTGAGCCAGTCCTGGGATGCACAGGGCAGAGCAGTGGACTCATCAATGATTGATGCCCTGAGTGTGGGACATAAAGAATTTATGTGGTCAGGGTGGGGCTGCCCAGAGAGCCCAGCAGGCTGCAGCCAGCTCGTGAGAGCTGCGGGAATTTTGCCACGTGGTTGTTAAACCCAGACAGCATTAAAAGATGAAGAGTGTGTATTCAGAGCTAAGTAAATCATATTTTATTTATCTTTTTTTATTCATTTTTTTATATCCACTTACTTTGATGTGTGTGGGTATGTGTGTGGAAGTCAGAGGACAACTTGTAGGAGTCAAATTCTCTCCTTCCACCATGTGGGACCTGGGGATTGAACTCAGGTCACCAGACTTGGCTGCAAGCACCTTTATCCACTGAGCCATCTCGCAGAACCATAAGTCACATTTTAAACAAAGAAAGTTGATGGGCATAGTGGCACAGGCTTGTCATCCCAGCACTTGGGAGCTAGAGGAAGGAGGATCTGGACTTCAAGGTCATCATTGGCTACATAGTGAGACTGAAGCCAGCCTGGGCAACATGAGACCCTGGCTAAATATAATAAAATAATAATAATAATAATAATAATAATAATAATAATAATAATAATAATAATAATAGAGCCACTGGGTGTGGTAGCACACTCAAGAGGCAGAGGCAGATTGATCTCTGTGAGATCGAGGGCAATGTGGTCTACATACTGAGTTCCAGGCCAGCTGGGTCTACAGGGAGACACTGTTTAAACAACAGTAACAACAAAAACAAACAAAAAGCATGGGATGAAGAGACAGAATCTGAGCGCCCCTGGCCAGGTGTTGAATTTAGATCCTGAAGAGCTGTCCTGGTGGGGCATGGGGTTGGTTTTGGAGATGGCAGATCTGCCCCTGGATGGCGTGGATGCAGGGTCCTCAAGCCCTGGGTGGCCTGATGGGGCTGACATGGCGCTGCCCCAGGGCCTTTGCACAGGCTGCTGTCTTCCCTTCCTTTCCTTCAGGACTTGTCCTTCCAGTCCCAGTCCCAGGTTTCCCCACCAAGGAGCTTCCTGTTCCTGTTAAATTCACCTGCCTCCCCACGGCCACCCCATGCCCAAGGCCCGACCCCTGGGTACAGTTCCTGCTTATTGGTTTGTTTCCTCTCTCTTCCTGTTTGTTGGTTTGCGGTGTTTCCCTCCTGCAGCCGGCCCACAAGCTGGCTTGAGAGAACCGAGGTAGGAGGACCAGGAGTGCAAAGTCAGCCTTAACTACATAGTGAGACCCTTAGAGAGCTTGTACCTCAGTGGGTAGAGTGCTTGTAGCACAGTGGGTGGAGTACTTGAAGCTCAGTGGGTAGAGTGCTTGTAACTGAGTGAATAGAGTACATAGCCCAGCAAACACAAAGCCCTGGGTTCGATCCCCAAGCACCACATAAACCAGGCATGATAGTGCATGCCTGTCATCCCAGCATTTGGGAGGCTGAAGCAAGAGGATCTGGGGTTCAGGGTCATCCTTGGCTACATAGGGAGTTCCAGGCCAGCCTGGGCCTTCTGAGACCCTGTATTATTAAAATAAATTAATATATAAAAAAATAAATGTAGGGAATTTTATAAAACTACATTCTAGGGCCAGTAAGATGACTCAGGGAGTTAAAAAAAATTGCCGCCAAGCCTGACCTCCTGAGTTCAATAGCTGGAACCATTATGTTGAAGGAGATGACCAATTTCACAAGCTGTCTTCTGATACACTTACATGAGCGTGCACACACACACACACACACAGAGATAATAAATAAATAAATAAATAAATAAATAAATAAATAAATAAATAAATGTAGGGTGTAGAGAGATGACGCCTCCTGTGAATTCAACTCTGATTTGAGTGGTCCTCAAATCATCTGTAATCAGAAGGCAACACAGAGTCCAGGTGGGGATCCCAGGAGAGAAGGCAGAGACAAAGCCTCCTTGGGTTACTGCTATATCCTTGGTGTTTGGTACACAGCTGGCGGTCCATAAATGCCCATTATCACAGTTGAGTGACTGAACAAGTGCTGGGTTGGGTTCTGGAGGCTGGTGGGGTGCTGTGGCACTTGGTAGGAGGGACCGGGCCCCAGTACCTTGTTCCTAGGAAAGTCCCTGCCCCACAGCCTCATGTGGCTGCCTCACCGCCCCCTGTAGGAAGGAAGGCCTGCGTTTATTTTAGTCTCTGGCCTGGCCCTTGGGGATTGCAGTCTTCCCTGGCTGACTGCTTGAAGGGAGGAGTTTATGGCTGAACAATAGATTCTGGAACAGGAAGTTGAGTTGGGCGGCTGGCCACCCCAGGTGGTGGCTGACCCTCATGGTGGGATTGGTGTGGGGGTGGCCAGGAGGGCATGTGGCTGCTGTGACTCCCCAGCGACTCTTCCTGCCTTGGGAAGCCCAGCTCCATTTTTGATCCAGAGCCCAGAGAGGGTGAGCAAGCTGCCTGGGGTCACACAGCATCCAAGCTGAGCCAAGCCAACAGTGGACTCCTGGCTGTCCTCCGAGCCGTCTTTGTTTAGCTCTAAGTTGGGGGTTCAGGGTCCCTCTGGGTCCCAACGGGGAAGGCAGTGGGGATTTGGGGTGCAAAGAGCTTCAGAGGCAGGCTCCTGTTGGGGGCTGGGCTGGTGCTGTCCCAGGCCCAGATTTCACCATTTAACATTCATTCCTCTTTCTTGAACCCTGGGCCGCATGAATGTTTGCTTTTGGCTGAAGAGAGGAACCATGTTCACATAGCTGGCTGCCACGAGGTCCTGGGTCAATAGCCAGGGCCTGGCTTGTGGACACTGGGGAGGCAGTCACCGGCTGGGGGCAGGCGAGCCTGTGGAGTCACCCTTGTGCTGGCCCCAACGCCTCCACACAAGGGAGCATGCTCACACAAAGGCCAACTTTGTAGGGGACCTGGGGGTGAGCAGGACACCGTGGAGCATGCCTGGCCTGACCTTCCAGGCTGGGTGGGTGGTGGATGGCTGACCACAGCCCATGGCAACAGCTGAGGCAGGGGGAGCGGGCAGCTCTCAGCCCCCTGCACGTCTAGGTTCGTTCACTCCACGGGAGGTTCTGGAATCTCTGAGAACATGGCAGATAAGGGGTCAGGCCCCGTGACTCTGCCACCCCTGAACTGGGAGCTTGGCTAGGAGTTTGCTAGAAAAGAGGCCAGGGTTGGGGGTAGGGCTTTTTATTATTTATATTTTATGTGTCTGAGAATTTTGCTTGGATGTATGTAAGTGCACTGGTGTCATGCACTGGTGTCAGAAGAGGGCGTCAGATCCCCTGGAACTGGAGTTCAGACAGTTATTAGCGGCCATGTGGGTGCTGGGAACCGAACCCAGGTCCTGCAAGAGTAGCCAGTGCTCTGACCCACATGCCATCTCTTCATCCCCAGGAACAGGGCATTAAGGGACGTGTAGAAGTTCAACAGGGAAGAGGCAGGAGCCTCTGAGCCCCTGAGAACTGTGGTTCTTAGCATTGTAGTTTGGGAAAACCTCTCAAGCTGGGCTGGTGGGGGTGGGTGGGCATGGTGCCAGTCCCTGGCCGGATTTCATCATTGAAAATCATTCCTTTGATGTGATCACGGATCCTGTTGTCTGTCGTTCCAGCAGGACCCATGGACACGTTCAGCACCAAGAGCCTGGCCCTGCAGGCCCAGAAGAAGGTCCTGGGCAAGATGGCGTCTAAGGCCATGGTGGCTGTCTTGGTGGACGACACCAGCAGTGGGGTGTTGGATGAGCTATACCGAGCCACCAAGGAGTTCACGCGAAGCCGCAAGGAGGCACAGAGAGTGGTGAAGAATCTGGTGAAGGTGGCCGTGAAGGTGGCCGTGCTGATCCGGGCCGGCCAGCTGGACGGAGAGGAGCTAGCCCTGCTGCAGAGGTTCCAAGGCCGTGCGCGCAGCCTGGCCATGACCGCCCTGAGTTTCCACCAGGTGGACTTTACCTTCGACCGGCGTGTGCTGGCCGCGGGGCTGCTGGAGTGCCGGGACCTGCTGCACCGGGCGGCTGGGCCACACCTCACTGCCAAGTCCCACGGCCGCATCAACCACGTCTTCGACCATTTCGCAGATGGTGACTTCTTGAGTGCTCTGTACAGCCCGGCTGAGCCCTACAGGACCCACCTGAGCCGCATCTGTGATGGGCTGGAGCGGATGCTGGATGAGGGTGGCATCTGACCTGACCCAGCTGCCTGGGGTCCAACTAGGGGCCAGTCTCCCTCTGACCTCTGGCCAGCTGACTGCTGACCTGTTCATTGGGATGAAGAATCACATACCTTTGCCCTTTCTGTCCTCATTCTAGATGGTCTTACCCTGTCCTGACTTCGCCCAGCCCCTCCTTCACCTCTATTTGTTTTCCCATCTCCTTCTGTGTCTCATGAAATCCAAGCTGGCCTCCTACTTACTGTGTAGCCAAGGATGAGCCTGAACTCCCAATCCTCCCACTTCACCTTCACGTGCTGGGTTGACAGGCCTGCGCTACCACACCTGGTTTATGTGGTGCTGGGGATGAACCCAAAGGCTCATGCATGTTAGGTAAGTGTTTTACCCTCTGTGCTGCAAGCAGTCTAGACACTGAGCTACAAAGCACTATTTCTTCTGACACAGGGTCCCACTCTGTAGCCCAGGCTGGACTCATAATCCTCCTGTCTCAGCTTCCCAAGTGCTGGGATGACAGCTGTACACCACCACACCTGGCTGTCCAGATGTTTTTTTTCTTCAAATGATATGGAGAATTGGGAGAAAATAATTGTATCCCCCTGTGCCGTCCCCTGCAACCTGTGATTCTTAACCCTCAGGGCTTGCCAAGGTAACTTTTGTGGAAAGTGGGGTTACTGAAAATTGGAACTTTTAACCTGATTATCAGACTAAAGTTCAATGGGTTTTAATCTGGCTGACTGGGTAGTTCAGTAGATAGCCTTCACACTGGGGATGAAGGAGAGATGTTTCCACCAGCCCAGGACACCAGGAGTCACTGCTACCACCAGACTGCACATGTGGAAGATGGATTCTTCTGGTGGTTTTGAAAGGACTCACCCTGGCCACATTATGACCCTGGCCATCTAATTCAAGAGGTGGCACCAATGTCTGCCGCTCTGAGATCCCAGTTTGGGGTTCCTAGCCCAGTTTCCTAGAAAAGGAATAAACAGGGCCCGCAAGAGGGCTCAGCGGGAAAAGACGGTTGTGACCAAGCCTGACAACCTGTTTGATCCCTGGGACCCACGTTATAAGGAGAGAACCAACTCCTGCAGGTTGTCCTCTTGACTGCACACATGCACGCGCGCGCGCGCGCACACACACACAGTCTCTCCTTAAAAAGGAAGAAATAGAACCACACTGGAGTGCTGTCAATCCAGTGGGTCCTGACTCATCAGCTCAGATGCGCCATCTAGTTGGAAAGTTCTCACTGGGTCAATAACACGGTCCCACGCTGTGGGTCTAACCTGGGAAGGCTCAGGTGTCCCTGCCTCCTGAGAGGGGTAAAGCCACTGGAGACACTTGTACACATTAAATTATTTCATATTTGGAAAACTAACCAACCTATTTTATTAATTTCTTTTGATAGGGCCTCATGTACCCCAGGCTAGACTTAAAAGTGCTGTATAACCCAGACTGGCCTTGCATTCCTGATAAAACTGCCTCCAGCAGCTAACTACTGGAAAGATGGGTGTGTGACTCCATGCCTACTTAATCATGCTGTGCTTATAAGACTGACCTTTCAGCCTTGAAGGACAGTTGAGCTGTATTTGTACAAAATGGAGGCATGGGTTGGTTGCCTACAATCCCCCAGTGAGGGGTCAAGGGTGTCCTGACAGTCTAGAAATCCTAGTGAAGGGGCTGTGGGCATGACTCAGGGGTAAAGTGACAGACCAGAATCCTCCAGTCAGCGGCTGGGGTTATAGATCAGTGATGAGACCTTTCCCACATGGTAAGGCTGGAAAAACCCCAGGATTCAGGCTCCTATGGCAGTCTGAGGTCAGCACGTGGCTTGTCTGCAGGGTGCTGGGCTCTGGGCTGCAGAGTTGTATTGTGCAGGTGGGAGAGTTACCCTGAGTGCCTGGCAGGACACAGCACACCCAGAGCTGTGTTTAGGGCAAATGTTCCAAATAGGAGGCCTGTGGGACCTCCCGGAGTGGAGGCTAGGCCTGGGTTTTAGAACCTGCAAATAGCCAACACTTACACAGAGAGATCTCACCAACCACTGCACACCCACTGTGTCTTTGGGGGACAAGGTCTCACTCTGTAGCCCAGGCTAGCCTGGAAGTCATGATCCTTCAGCCTAGCCTCCAGAGGTCTGGATCACTGGCCTGAGCCTGTGCTGCCCCCTGGTGGAGCTGCGCACCTGCTGCAGAAGTCTCTCCTCCCCGGCCTTAGGTGGGAGATGCCCGTCATCCCAGCAGCCTTCCTGGTGGGTGGGAGATGCCTGTCATCCCAGCAGCCTCCCTGTGCTGTGCTGGCCTCACACCTTCACAGGTTTTCACCTAATGTGAGCTCTTAAGCCCATCCAGTTCAATAGCAAAATTCTCTTACTTCAGGTCCATTGTAGGGTCCCAGAACCCTATATGTAAGGCAGTCTCCCCAGTGGTCCCAGATGAAACCCTCAAGCCCTAGGCCAAGCAGATCCAATCAATCAGCGAGAGGAAACGTCTGAGATCCCTATGGGGCTGTTTTCACAAGGTAGAGATCAATTAAAAAAATAAAAACATCAACAGGGGTGGGTGCTGGAGATATAGCTCAGCGGTTAGGAGCACTGGCTGCTCTTGCAGAGGACCTGGGTTCAATTCTCAGATGGTGACTAGCAGCCATCCGTAACTCCAGTCCTGCGGATTCGACACCCTCTTCTGGCCTCCCCAGGCATAGCACGCATGTGGTGTACATAGTCACACACAGAATCTAAAAATTTCATGCCATGATGACTTGAAAAACCCACCCAAAGCTGGTATATGTGTGGGGACAGTGGGTTCACCCTGGGGCCCTTGTGCTGGGGGATTCGGCATGAATTCACAGCCATATGGTGCTTTGGGCTCTTTGTGGGCACAAATCACTGCTGCCTTCTGACCCATGGTGCAGGCACCTGCATGAGTCACTTAGGAGGCTGTACACCTGTGCCAGCAGGTGTTAGCCTGGAAGAGCAGTGGGGGTGCCATCTTCAATCCCTGATCCCCAAAGAGACCTGTCTGGGGTCGGCTTTTTATTTATTTAAATATGAAAGAATATTGTCTCTGCCCAGTTCTGAAAGGCGTTCCCTGGGGTAAGATAGAGGTCCTGGTGACACGGGGGCTCAGCTTGGGCTCAGAGGGTTAGTTGAGGCTGGCTTCAGAACAGCCCAGAAATCACTGGGTGTCCATTTGCCCTGAACCACATCTTCACTGGTCCAGAGTACCACAGACCAGCATCCAGAGGACATGGTGGGCCTTGGGTGCGATGGATGTGGTTGCTAGCACCAGACACCACCAGTTCCTGTGGAATCTGAGAGTCCAGGACAAGCAGGTGAGGCTAGTACTCCAGAGGGAGGAGGTGATATGGCCCCGACGGTGATGGTCACAGCTCCGAATGGGCTGCCTTAGCAACAATCACCAGCTTGGACAACTCAGCCTTGAAGGCCCCAGGCCTATGAGACACTGAAAGACACAAGCCAAGGGTCAGACTGGACAATGTCACACGAGACCCTGAGAACTTGGGGTACAGCTGGCAGAGAGGCCCCAGAACAGGGACGACCCCTGGAAGAGGCCCTGAGAAGCCAGGCTTGGTAAGGCAAGCTTGTCCTGCCACCTATTATGCAGGCTGAGGGAGGAAAAGGAGACCCAGGCCAACTTGAGACCATGGAACGAAAGGAAAAAGAAGGTTGGGTACATGGCTGAAGTGTAGACAGCCTGGAATCCCCAGTGAGGGGCTGGGGCGTGGCTCAGGGTAGAATGACAGCCTGGAATCCCCGGTAAGGGGCTGGGGCGTGGCTCAGGGTAGAGTGACAGCCTAGAATCCCCGGTAAGGGGCTGGGGCGTGGCTCAGGGTAGAGTGACAGCCTAGAATCCCCGGTAAGGGGCTGGGGCGTGGCTCAGGGTAGAGTGACAGCCTAGAATCCCCGGTAAGGGGCTGGGGCGTGGCTCAGGGTAGAGTGACAGCCTAGAATCCCCGGTAACCTAGAATCCCCAGTAAGAGGCTGGGGCGTGGCTCAGGGTAGAGTGACAGCCTAGAATCCCTGGTGAGGGGCTGGGGGCGTAGCTCAGGGTAGAGTGACAGCCTGGAATCCCCAGTGAGGGGCTGGGGCGTGGCTCAGGGTAGAGTGACAGCCTAAAATCCCCAGTGAGGGGCTGGGGGCGTAGCTCAGGGTAGAGTGACAGCCTAGAATCCCCAGTAAGAGGCTGGGGCGTGGCTCAGGGTAGAGTGACAGCCTAGAATCCCTGGTGAGGGGCTGGGGGCGTAGCTCAGGGTAGAGTGACAGCCTAGAATCCCCAGTGAGGGGCTGGGGCGTGGCTCAGGGTAGAGTGACCCCCTAGAATCCCCAGTGAGGGGCTGGGGCGTGGCTCAGGGTAGAGTGACAGCCTAGAGTCCACAGTGCAGTCTGGTCCAGGTACTTGAACAGACTGTGGACCCAGTTCTTTGGGTTCTGTCTGGTGCTGTGGTGTCCCCTCTCCTGGTTTCCTGTCACCCTCATCCAGATCCTCAGAGTCCAGCAACATTGGTGATACTGACCTCCCAGGTCTGGACAGTGAATGGCCCTTTCTGCTTTATAAAGCAGCCTGTGGAGTGTGTTGTCATAGCAACAGCAATGAGACAAGTCCAACTGTGAAGGATGCTGCGAGCCATACTGACTGGGACAGGTAGCTGCCATAGGCTGACCCATAGCTCAGGGCCCTTCACTGTGACAGTCTGTGATCTCCAATCCATAGTCACGAGGATCCTTGGGCCCTCCCCTCCCCCAGCCACCCTGACAGGTGCTGGGCCACAGTCACCTACCTGCTGTCTTGGTCACTTCAAACTCCTGTGGACTCAAGGGGACATCGCTCTCCCTTTCAAAGGCGGCTTTGGACTGGAGGGGACAGAGGGCTGTTCAGTGGCAGGGGACATCAGGAGAGATGCCCCCCGAGACTATAGCCGAAAGCCAGGTACTTGCTAGGGTGGGTGTGCGGTCCCCAGCATGGAGGACACAGCCTGTGGCTCATCCACATGCCCTGGCTGGAAGGCAGAGCTTGATCAGCTCATATGTGCAATGGACAGTCTGTCTGTCAGTCTGTAGCAGGACAGCTGTCACCAGCCCGCAATGACACACAGTAGGGATACTTTGTGGATACAAGCTGGCTGGCGGCTAGAGTCTATCACAACTGCCTGCCATGAGGGACAGGAGTGGAAGATCATGATGGCCTGTAAGGACCATGGCCACTGTGGACCATCCCAACTCCCCCAGCCAGTCCCCAGGGCACCGTGACCTCTGCTGGGAACCCTGTTCCAAGCACCCCCATCATGGGCTTTCCTGTGAGAGTGCCAACTCAGCTGGGTGCCCAGGTTGGCAGAGCCGCTCAACATCAGCAGTGGTGTCTGGGGCCAAGAGTTCTGTCCCACAGCAAGAGCTGCTGGCCCTTGCAACCACTGTCCTGACCAGTACTTACATAGGCCATGGCGTACTCGACATCACCGCCACGCACTTCTGCCTTAAACTGCGTGAAGTAGAGGTAGGACTTGCCCTGTGGCCTGTGGGGGACAGACAGACAGATGCTGGACAGAGGGACAGACACTAGTGAAAGATGCTAGACAAGATGGACAGCAGGTGGATGAGGACAGACCCAGACTGAGTCTACCTGGGACTCCACCATAGAAATTTCAGGACTAGGCCTAAGAAGTGGATTTTCAGATGTCAGGAGCCGGAGAACCTTGTGGGGATGGGGCTACCTTTTGGGGTGATAGGATGTTTTGAAACCAGATACAGGTGATGTCAACACACCTTTTAAGATTCTGGTTTTTGAGACAGAGTCTTGTGTATCCCAGGCTGGCCTCAAACCTATTATACAGCTGAGGATGACCCTGATTCCTGTCCCCTGCCTCCCAGTGCTGGGGTGACAGGCATACACCACCATGCCTGAGTATTTTTTAATTTTGTGTTTTGCTCACATGTATGTAAGTATACCACGTATGTGCAATGACCAGAGGCCGGAAGAAGGCATTGATCCTTCAGCCTAGCCATGGAACTGGAGTTACAGATGGTTGTTAGCCACTATATGGGTGCTGGGAACCAAACCCAGGTCCTTTGGAGCAGCCACTGAGCTGGCTCACCAGCCTCTTATCTCAGATTTTCAAGTTTGCCGAGGACTGCTCTTCCGCCTCTCCCGCCCACCCCACAGACCCCGGCTCTGGCCTCCGCATTGCTCCCTCCACTCCCCAGGACCCTGCTGTGGCCTACACTGACCAACTTCCTTAAGGGCTCAGGGCTACTCACTCAGCCTGTCCCCTTCTTCCACCTCCCAGGCTGCACACTATGGCATGCACAGTGCCGAAGACACCTGGCACGACCCTGGCTCACCTCCAGATGGTGCACGTAAAATGCTGGTGGTCCTCGCTGGTCCCCAGGCTCATCTGCCACTGCTGAAGACAGACGATGGGCACAGATGTTAACAGGACACACTGTCACGCTGGGTCCTGGGCTCTACATGGGATCTCTCCCACTTCTTTTGTTTTTTTTTGAGATGGGGTCTCCCTGTAGCCCCAGCTGGCCTGGAACTCACTTTGTAGACCAGGCTGGCCTTGAACTCACAGAGATCCGCCTGCCTCTGCTTCCCAGGTGCTGCATGATAGGGGTGTGCCACCATGCCCAGCAATCTCTTCCAATCCAGTTTGTTTCCCATGCTACACCCAGAGAGGCTACCCTTGACTCCTGGGTCACCCTCCCCTGCTGTAATTGCTCAGGCTAACCCACCAAATGCTTTCCCCTGCCTCAGGGCCAGAAGACCTCATCCATCCCACTTCCTTCCCATAACACATTTCATCTACCTTGAGGACAATTCTCAGGTGAGCCTAGTGAACTCAGTGAAACTGTCTGAAATATCAAACAGGGAGCCAAGGCTTGCAGCTCAGTGGGCCAAGTGCTCGTGGCCGAGTGGGTAGAGTACTTGCAGTTTAGTGGGTAAAGTGCTTAAAGCTCAGTGGGTAGAGTGCTTGTAGCTCAGCGGGTAGAGCAGTTACCTAGCATGCATGAAGCCTGGGTTCCCTCACGAGCAAATCATAAACCAAGTGTGGTTTCACACACCTGTCATCCTAATACTTTGGAGATAGAGGCAAGAGGATCAGGAGTTCAGGGTCATCCTTGGCTACCTAGAGAGTGCCAGGCCAGTCTGGGCTACATGGGACTTGATTAAAAAAAAAAAAAGAGGGGCTGGAGAGATGGCTCAGTGGTTAACAACACTGGCTGTTCTTGCAGAAGACCTGGGTTTGAATCCCAGCACCCATATGGCAGCTAACAATTGTCTATAACTCCAGTTCCAGGGGATCCGACAGCCTCTTCTGTCCTCAGCGGGCATTGCACGACATGGGTGCACTTACCTACATGCAGGCAATACATGCATACACATTAAAAAAAATAAATTGCCGGGAATGGTGGCACATGCCTTTAATCCCAGCAGTCGGGAGGCAGAGGCAGGCAGATCTCTGTGAGTTCAAGGCCAGCCTGGTCTACATAGTAAGTTCCAGGATAGCTGGGGCTACAGGGAGACCTTGTCTCAAAAAGACCAAAAAAATAAATAAATACATATTTTTTAAATATAAATTTTTTAAAAAAAGAGAAAAAAATCAAAAGCAACCAACCACATAAAATAACCACTAACTCTCCTGGCTTGGCCTGCCAACCCAGGGGCCATGGCCACAGGCCACTAGCACGGTATTCTCAGGTGAAATGATTCACAGGAGCTCTTCCATCTCCAGGGACCCCGCCATCTTTATGTCAATCATAGGGGCTCAACAGTCACCAGGCTGCATGCTGCCCTCAAGCACAGCCTGGGACCTAATTATATGTGATGAGGAGACCTGGCTGCCAGCTGTGGGCATCTCCTGCTGACTCAGCAAATTTGGTGCTATTTCCAAACATCTCTGTGGGCTCTAGGCTGGCTGCACACCAAAAATATTTCCATCTCTGATATATACTGGAAGGATAGTATTTTTTTTTTTTCCTTTTTTTTGAGACAGGGTCTTCCTGTAGCTTCAGCTCACCTGAACAACTTGCTATGTAGCCCAGGCTGGTCTGGAACTCACAGAGATCCACCTGCCTGTGCCTCCCAAGAGCTGAGATTAAAGGCTGCTGCTACCACATCAGCACTCCTATACATTTAGTAAACTCACTCATTCAAAACCGAAAGCATGGTCGTTGCAGATCATTTTCTGGCCTGTACATAACACTCTCGTTCATGGCTGTATGATATTCCAGTGTGTGGAGTGTTATAGCTCAGTGTATCTGTTCATCTATGGACACTGGGGTCAATTCCACTCCTTGATATCACAGAGAGCATCCTGGGTCACTCATGTCCAAGGTTTCGCAGGCATACCAATATTCCCACTTAAGGAATGGACCTGAATGTGGGCCAGCTGAGCTACAAGGACTACCCTCTACCCCTTGAATTTTCATGGTTCAAAGGCAGCACTCTGTTTTGACTGGTTAGGTAAGTTGCCATGCACCTGTGAGCCTGGTCCCTATGACAGCTCCATGAGATTCTAACTTACCTCACTGGTCCCTCCTTGGGAAGCATAGGTGAACGAGCATGTAAACTTGCCCTGGAGAAGAGAAGACAGAGAGGCTGGGGAGCAGAAAACCCTGACAACAAAGGGCTCAACCTCCAGAACCCAGACCCCAGCCAGCTGGGTGTGCTGCGGTCCACCTGTCACAGTTACTCAGGAGGCTGAGGCAGGAGGATTGTGAGTTCAAGGTTGGTCTGGATTAAAGAGCAAGTTCAATCCCAGACTGGATGACTTATTCAAATGCTGTTTCAATGGAAAACAGTAGAATGCACATCAGTGGGAGACCCCTGCCTAGAATCCCCCAGTGAGGGGCTGGGAGCCTGGCTCAGAGGTGGAACATCAGCCTGGGCTGTGTGAGGCCCTAAGTTCCATCTCTAGAACCATCAAAAAAAATAAATAAAAATCAAGAGTTCCTCCAGATGTCCTTAGAGGTCAGTCCTGTGAGGCGCTCAGGTCTGGCTCCCTTCCCCCCATGAGCTCAGGGCTTTGCATAAACAATACAGTGGTGTCCAGGTCGACACCTGGAACCCATCACAGGGCCGGCCTTGTGAAGTTCTCCGGGTCTGCAACACAGGGCTGTCTGGAAGCCCTGGGCCCCTGCTGGATGTGAGGACGTTCTGAGAAAAACAGTTCCGTGGGACACAGCGGTCAGCGGCAGGAACCGGGAGACAGAGTTGGGACAGAATCGGGCTGATGGCCTCAGGGCCTCCAAGGGAAATCTGCAGGACCCCCTGCAAAGGAAGGGTGCTTCCTCTCTGGTCCGACCTCAATGAGCGACTCTCATGGAACCTGCGGGGCACAGCTACCTCCGTCTCTGCAGCTCTCAGGTGCAATCCGGTTTCTAGAACACGGTTGGTGAAGAGTGGGTAACTGATAGTGGGTGATTGACAGATGAAAATTGAGGCGGAAGCTGGGCCAAGTGACCACGCCCCCGCCAAACTGCCAGGCTTCGAAGCTCCCGCCACCTGCCACTGGGACCAGCAGAGATGAGGACTCGATTCCTAGTCGGCTCCACCCAAAACTGTCACTCCTCAGTCGTCGATCTTGCCCCTAACCGGGCTTATGCACGTACCCCCGGTCCCACGTCCTGCGAGAAGGTATGCTCCACGCCTCCAGGCCGCACGTCAAACGCCACCGTCGTGGGCTCGGATACCGCAGCCACCGGGGCCAACGCCGCAGCCGCCAGGAGCAGCGCGGCCCAAAAGCCTCCGCTGGGCGCCGCCATCTTGGCTCCGGGCGTCGGCGCAGGCGCGCGCGGATGAGGCGCGGCGAGGGACACGTGGGGCAACGGGCGCGGGACACGTCGGCGCGACCTGGTGACGCGCGCAACGCCCCGCCCCCTCCGCTAACCGGTCCCATCATCTAGGGCGGTGTCTAGGTCTTCGAACACGCCTTCGCCCCGCCCTTCCTCGCCCTGGCTGCCATCTTGAGGCGGGGGCGGGGCATATCACGTGATGTCATGCTACTCTTGTGATTGGTGCTTGAGGAATGAATGAGCCGAATTAGTCTGAGCAAATGCGTTGTCTTTGTCGCAGCCATGTTCCTTCACCGGGCTGTGAATATTAGTGGGAGGGACGTTCAAAAGGACTTCAGTTAATTTGCCATTTATTCGTTACAGGTTCAAGCCCCAAAGCCCTCTGAAACAAAATTTATGTTTTGTCATTTAATGAAAAAGGTATCACACATTATAGTAACATTTCAATGGCTGCCAGACACAGGCGCTTTGGGGATTTTTTATTAATATAATTTATATTTTGTTGAAAATATTTCTTAATCTTATATTTCATTTTAAAATTTATTTTATTTTTGCTTATTTTTTGTTCTTTTTCTTTTTGAAACGATCTCCCTGTAGCTCCAGCTGGCCTGGAACTCTGTGTACACCAGGCTGGCCTCGAATTCAAAGATCCATTCAAAGATCCACCTGCCTCTGCCTCCTGATTAAAGACACGCTTATCTAAATTTTGAGACAGAGTCTCCTTGTAACCCCAGCTGGCCTGGAACTCCAGCTCTTACTGCCACGACCTCCCCATGCTGGGGTGACAGGTGTGCACCACCACGTCCAGTTTGTGGGATGCTAGGCATGAACCCAGGCCAGGCTCTGAATTCTAAGCAATCGCTCTTCCCACTGAGTCCCAGTAAAGATATTCTGCCTGTGTCCTGGCTAGTCTGTAACTTCCCTTTGTAGCCAAGGATGACCTTTGAACTCCTGATCCTCCTGCCTCAGTGCTGGGATGACCAGTGTGCCTGGTTTAAGTGGTGCTGGGGATGAATCCAGGGCCTCATACATGCCGAGTGCTCTACCCACTGAGCATAACTATACTCTATCCACTCAGCCCCAGCCCCAGACAGCAGTGTGTCAATGTCCATACAGGGTGGGCTTCTTCCAGAGGAGCTGTGTAATACCCTTTCCTTGTGTCCCCTCCAGCCTGGCATCCCAGAAACCCCTCGTGTCCCTCAGGTGACAACCCCAGTCCCCTGCCCACTCACATTCCAGCCTTATAAGGAGTCCCTGGCAGTCTGCAGTGTCTCCATCTGGAATAGTTTAATGAGTCTGCGTTCGCACATAATTATAAAAGAATAAGAATTGACAAAAATATTTTCTTTCCATAATATGTAGAGGTGGTTTCTGTTTGTTTTTTTTCCTTTTCTTTTGTCTTTCATTTTTTCACTCCTTCATGCCCAAACTCTCAGTGAGAGGGCAAGGAGGGGGTTCCCACCTTTAGGTTGGCCAGGTCCTATTCCCAAGCCTGAACCCCATGTTGGGGTGAGCTGGGCAGGGGCTGGGTCTATGACCCATGGCAGCTGGGTGCCTGTCCCCAAGCCTGGCCAGACCCCAGATGTCCAGATACCTGTTCCAGTAGCCCCAAGCTTAGTCTGGTCTTCAGGAGAATGTGGGTTCCCTGGATGCCCTGTAGAGGACCCCAATTCTGTATCAGGTACCCCTTGCTTTGTCTTTTTAAATAAGTATTTAAAATGTTCCCTGAAACACGACAGGGCTGTGAAGTGAGGGGACAGGCATGCTTCTGCACCGGGGACAGTGGTGGGTTTGGGGGACCCAGAGGCCACAGGGAGCCACATGTGTCAGTTGGGTGGCCAGGTGGCTTCCCTGCCCAGCTCCTCCCAGTCTTTTTGGCTGAGGGTGGCCTAGCTAGGGGCTCTCCAGTGTGGGCTGTCCTCCAGGACAAGCCCACAGAGGGACCCACAGGACACAGTGACCCTGGGGACCTGCCACCACCTCTCTGTCCTAGCCCCAAAAAGCAGCAAGCAAACAAATCCAAGGCTTCAAAAATAAAATAAAATTAAAAAAAAAAATAAAAACAAAAAAACTTCAAAGGCCTCAGGGCGGCGAAGGTTGTGGCTGGCCAGCCACGGGCTGTCCAGCTGGTCCCCTGCAGCCTGGGCCTTGTGCTCTGGTGGCGACGGTCCCCGAGGGATCAGAGGTTTTCTTGCAGAAAGTGCAGCAGTGTCACCTCGTAGTGCTCACCTGACTCGGGGCACCGGATACTGTGTCTCTCATTGGGGTAAATCTGTGGAGAGAGGCAGGCTGGGGGTCCTCAACCTGGCTACCCCGGGGATCCCAGTCTGCACCCGGGGTCCCTCCCCCAGAGGTGTTGCTGGGATGTTAATGACTGTGCTCTGTTCCAATCCCAGGGGTGACTGTGTCCTGCCTTTGTGGGTCTTATGGCTGACCAGAAGCTGTCTGCACCCGGCAGGAGGTCTGGCTGGAGGGCGATACACACAGAAGGTAGGTCAGGCGCACCCTCCAGCCTCCACTGCTCTACCTTGACCTCTTATAATCCATCCTGTAGACAAGTCAGGGGTCATGGAGCTGCCACCCAGGCTGCTGGTGTCCTGGGGTGCTGGCAATGAGGGAGGGTAGCCCATCACTCCCAAAACCCTCCAAAGAAGCCCTGCCTCTTTGTTGTTCTGTGTGGCTACTGGGCCGCACCTGCCACATCCCCGAGCTTATCCATCCTGCTCTGGCCTTCAGTCTCCCAAATCTGTGCATTGGGATATTCCTGAGACAAAGGCCAGTCCCTGGTGGAGACACATCTTTTCAGCCAAAGGCCGGCCCACCACCTGCAGCAAGGCTCTGCCCCCAATTGCTGCCCTCTTAGGCCCACCCCTTAGTATGAAGGCTCCATCCTTCTGACCAAGCCCTCCCCTTGCCCTTCACTGTCAAGGTTGCCCCCAGCTGCCCTGTCCATCACAGGCCTGTATCATCCAGCCTCCCAACTCCTCCTCCCTTCACTGTTCTCCACCTGGGTGTCCCATCCTCTTGGGCCCCCAATCTCTGGAGACACCCCCACTCCTGACAAGTGGACTGTCAATGGAGGAATCTCGGGTGTGATGACCTTGGACCCACACATGTTCCTACCTGGCTGAGACGGGTTTACCCTATGTCCCCATACCTGACCACCGGGCTGAGGCTGGGGTCCACCCTGTGTCCTGAAGTGCCTCACCTGCAGCTGGTACGGCTTCCCAGCCCGGATCAGCTGTGACACTAGGAAGTTGGTGTGGAAAAAATGCACATTTTCATCCAGGAAACCATGCAGGATGAGCAGCCTGTTGGGTCTGGGGAAAAGTGGAAGGGTAGGCCAAGTCACTGTGGGGGCAGGCGGGGAGTGGCATCCAGGGGGCTCAGTATCCCCACCCCAGTGCAGCAGGCAGGACAGAAGCGGAGGTAAAAGGTGTCTTCTGCACTCTGACTGGGCAGAAGTGTGTGCCTACAACCAGCAACACTGGACCCCAGGCCCAACAGGCCACAGGGACTCGGCATGTGGAAAGTCGCCATAGTGACCAAGAACGTGAGTGTTCGCATCTTTTCCAACTATTTTTATTTATTTATTTTGGAGACAAGGTCTCATGTAGCCCACGCTGGTCTCAAACTCATTATGTAGCCCAGGCTGTCCTTGAACAGCCTCCATCTCCCAATTGCTGGAATGATGAATGTTACACCCCTGGTTTATGGGGTGCTGGGGATGAAGCCAGGGCTTCAGGTGTGCTAGGTGAGCACTCTACCTACTGAACTATAAGCACAAGTAGTCTGTCCACTGAGCTACAACCACTCTACACTCCCACAGTGACCATGTGGACCCCAGGACACAGCACAGAAAGCCTAAGTGGGCACAGCGCCACGGGCCCTGGTGCTATCACCCAGTAGAAGTCATTCAGCAGACATCTACTCTCCACACTGTGTCAAGGTCACAAGACAAAGGCCATGGGAGGGTTGTCAAGACCACTGTCCATGAAAGGATGCCAGGGAAGGCTGGGTGACACAATGTGGGGGTGACAATGTGTGTGAGGTCCTGTGTGACCCTGAGGCCCTGATCCCTCTCTCTTGTCCATCTAGGCAAGGACAGCTCCCCAAGGTCTCCCTAGCTGCCACTGGCTATGGTTTCCCTGGCCGCAGTGCAGCAGGTGACACATGGGACATGCTGGGTAGGACACAGGCGGCGCTGATTCGGGAAGTGGTAGGTGGTGGGTGGGGGTGGCAGGCTCTTACTCATTGGGCAGCTTCTCCACATGGAGGGCCACAGAACCCGCCTCGTAGCCCTGCTGGTTGTTTTCTGGGACGTCCATGTAGCGTTCTGTGTAGCCGGTGTCGTAGGCCATCCACACAGTGACAGGGGCACCCGCAATGGCTACCTGCAGGGCACAGGGGGCCGATGGGGTGGGAGATGGGGACAGAGAGGTGTCAGGTGCAGGATCAGCCACACTAGGGTTCTGGGACTTGGGAAGAGCGAGCAGGGCATGCACGTGGGTGGTGGCTGGCAGGGGATCCTCACACGTGTCCCCGAGCACTGCTGGGGTCGGGCAGAGCAAGGAGGGAGGGCCCGTCCCACCTTCCTGCCTCCTCCGCCTCCTCTTGCCGCCGCCCCGCAGTGCCCTGCCAGTCCCGGGGCCTGGGCCCCCCGCCACTCCTCGTAGCTGCCCCACCTCTGCCCCTCTGAGAAGGGGGTCCCAGGCTTGGCCTCCCACACAGAGCTGCTGGCCATTGGCATCCTGGGGTCGGCGGTGACGGGCATTGAGGAGGGGGGCCTGGCCTCATGAGGCTGCTGCGGGAGAGATAGCCAGGTGGCAAGGCCCCTGCCGGGGTGCGCCCTCCAGGGTTGGGGCTCCCGGGTGGGGTAGGGGGCGGAGGGGGGGCTAGGTATGGGGCTCTGGTTGGCTGGTCAGAGCAGGACCCACCTTGAACACCTGGGGCTTGTGAATGAGCCCCATGAGTGACAGGAAGCCACCGTAAGACCAGCCGTGGATGGCCACCCGGCTCAGGTCAATGAAGCCGTACTTCTCGGCCACGTACTGCAAGCCCTCCACCTGGTCTTCAATCTCCACCTGGCCCTGCAGAAAGCTAGCACCCTCAGTGGCTTCCTCCCAGGGCAACCAAGAACCCCTACTCTGCTTCAACTGAGCAGCTTTTCCTCTCAGCCTGATAATGTTCTAGAACCTTCTGTCTCAACTGGAGCCTACAAAACCTTTTGTGGTTGGAGGGGTCGCACCATCATCACCACCACCACCACCATCACCATAACCACCACCATCACCACCATCACCACCACCATCACCATCACCATCAGCACCACCATCATCATCACCCTCACCACTAGCACCACCCTCAATGCCCTCATCCATGTTATCAGCATCTCCATTGTCCTTGTCTTCATCATTACCATGGTTACCATCACCACCAGCCCCATTTCTGCCCCTACCCCCTCTCCCATCAGACTGACCCTTGGCTTTCTCCTGGATCCACCAGCGCCAGGTTTCCTCCAGGCTGCCTCCACCCCCAACCCTGTTCTCAGGCCCAGGAATAGACAACATCTGTGCCCCCCAGGCCATGCTGATCCACAGGCCTCAAACTTACCATCTGGTTCTTCAGGGCCCCTTCAAAGCGCAGGCCCCTCTGACAGGAGCCCCGGCCATCAATCACCACCACAGCGTAGCCCAGTGATGCCAGCGTGTTCAGCCGCAGGTACTTGATTCCTTTGAATGAATTGTTCACGAGCTGCACCTGAGGGGAGGTGGTGGGTGAGACAGGGAGGCAGTGGGCAATGGGGCCAGGTGGGGTCTGCCGCCAGGGCGCAGGGCAGGGCCAGGCTGCACCCACCTGGGGGCCCCCATACACGAAGAGCACAGTGGGGTGCTTCCGGCCCGGCTGCAGGGCGTGTGGCTTGTAGACCATGCCGTACAGCTGCACGTCAGAGCGTGTGTGGAAGTGGAAGATCTCAGGGGGCACGTAGTCCGGGGGGCAGTCTGCAGAGGACACGGGTGCTGGCACCAAGTGGCTTGAAGGCTGCACTACCTCCCTGACCCACCCCTGTTGGCGGGCTTCACAGTGAATGGGCAAAAGGCACAGCCACAGGGACGCCACCCAGGAAACAAGAACGAGTGATGGCACTGAGGTCACTATTTCCACTGCCAAGGACTCACCAAACCCTCCTCTTTCTCCACCTGCCTCAGCACCCCAAGAATAGCTCAGGGTGGCTTGAACCTCAGCTGGCCGACCTGCCTCACTGGGCACACCTGGGACCCCTGGAACATCACAGTCAACTCGTCTCCTGGCCTGTTTCTTAAGAACTTGTGCAAAACCACACTGGTCGCCTGACGTGGTGGGACCAGAACTTGTGTTCTTGACAGACTGTCCTTACAGAGCCCAGGCTGGCCTGGGACTAGGTAGCCCAGGTTGGGCTCAACCTTACAATCCGCCTGTTTGTGTCTCCTGAGGGCTGGGATGACAGGCATGAGCCACCACACTCTAGTTATGGGGTTCTGGGGGCAGAACCTGAGGCTTTGTGCACACAAAGTGAGTGTTCTGCCCACTGCCCCAGTTCCAGCCACCATTCTACGTCTTTCTGTGACAATGGACTGACATGTGACCAAAGTCCTGTGTCTCACATCATGGTGCTGGGATCTGAACCTGGCCCACCTCAGCTCTGCAGTGGACTGTCACAGTACTTCCTCTAGCCCTGCAGCCTCCTCAGGGGACTGGCCCTGAGTTCTTTGCCAAAGCTATCGCTTTTGAATGCCCAATAGCCTCAGGGCACAGGGCTGCACAGTACCTGCAGTCACACCCCAGAGCCAGGAGGAAGGGTAAGGCAGGGACCCAGAACCGCATGTATATTGAGTTTACCAGGGTAGACACTGTTGTCCCGGTCTCTGACCCTGTTCCCAGCCTTGGTTACCCACCTGCCCTCCTCCCGCTGACAGGAGGGATGCAGTCTTGACCATCATTACTTACTGGCTGCCTCCATCATGCTGGCCCAGAACCGGGGCTGCTTGTGCAGGGGGTCATCGTCAGGGCCGCTCAGCTTGTACACATGCACACAAGGTGGTGTGCTCACACTGCTGTAGTGACTCACGAACATATCAAAGTTCTGTGGGCGGCAGGGAGGCCTCAGTGTTTGGGAGCAGATACCCACCCCACCATACACATGGCAGCCCAGACCTCACTCACCCAAAGGATGGGGCCCATGTTTGAAGATGAGGAAAGTGAGACCAGACACTGATGTCATTGACTCCTGTCCTGGCCCTAAGCACACTGACTACTTGATACTCTAAAATGATGTTCCAGAATGATGTTCTCGAATATGGGCCTAAACTGATGGTCTAGAATGTTCTACAATGTAGATTTAGAGTGTTCCACAGCATTGCAGAGCATGTTCCAGAATGACACCCTAGGATGGCTAAAATGTTCTGGAATGGTGTTCCAGGAACCTAGAAGGATGGCTCAGACTAATATTCTAGAATGCAGGTTTCTAGAGTAGTGACTTAGAATGGTTATAGAATGTTACTCTAGAGTGCTCTCAGCAGTTCTAGAATTGTCCAGGGTGTTCTACAATGAATGAGCTACAATAATCTACGATATTTTAGAATATGCTCTACAGTGGTACTTGGAATGATGTTCTATGCTGGTAGTCTAGAGCATTCTAGAATAAGTTGCAGAATGTTCTTAAATGATGATTTAGACTGCTGTTCTAGAGTGGTGGTCTAGGATGTTCTAGAATGATGACTTGGAAAGATGTTCTCAAATGTTCTTGAATAGCGTTCTAGAATGAGAAGCTGGGCTATGGATGGGCTTGGAGTAGCTTTGTCACTGGCTCAGCCTCCCAGTCCCCAGGAGGTTGGGTAGGTGTATAGGGACCTGTGTGCTCACCTGGCTCATGGAACAGCTGTGTGAGAAACCAGGTGTGGTGAGCCGCACGATCTCACCAGCGGATTCGTAGCTGACCACATATAGGTGATGCTCCAGTGGTGTGTCCTTTGTGCCTTGGAAGTACACCAGCTTTGTCTGCTCGTTGACCCAGATCTGCAGACAACGGGCGCTTCAGTGACCAGCAATGGCTGCTGTGCTTCCTGTCCTGAGCCCGCAGGCACATCAACAACCACTGAGACTCCCATCTGACCACGGGGCCCCAGACAGGGCTGGACCCACCATGCCAGTGCTGGTGACTCCCTGGGACTGAGAGAAGAGCCTGCGGACAGGCCACCAGGGTCCCAGTGATGGCCAGTCCCATCTGTTCAGCACAGCCCTCTGGCCAAGGTGCCCAAGGCAGAGATCAGCTGGTGGAGTGCCTGTAGCTCAGCAGATAGAATGTTTGTAGCACAGTGGGTAAAGTGCTTGTAGCTTAGTTGACAGAGTGCTTAGGGGTGGACTGCTGGTTTGGTATGCACTATACCAGAGGCCAACCTCAAGTGTCTTCCTCCATCGCCCTCCACCTTGACTTCAGAGACAGGGTCTCTCTCTAAACCTAGAGCTCACTGATTAGACTAGGCCAGCTGACCATCTAGCCACAGGGGTCCTCCTTTCTCAGCCTCCCCAGTGCTGGGTGCACCTGGATTTTATGTGGGTTCTGGGAATCTGAGCTCAGGCCCCAAGCTTTCATGGCATTTACAGCCCTAGACTACACTTTCATAACTTTTTTTTTTTTTTTTTGACAGGGTCTCTCTCTAGCCCCAACTGGCCTTGATCTCACAGACATCTGAAATCCTCTGCTTCTCCAGTGCTGGATTAAAGATATGTACCACCATGCCCTGCTACAACATTTTTTTTTTTGGCGGGGGTGGATCTTTTTGAGACAGGGTCTCCCTGTAGCCTCAGCTGTCCTGGAACTCACTAAGTAGACCAGAAATCCGCCTGCCTCTGCCCCCTGAGTGCTGGGATTAAAGGCGTGCGCCACCATGCCTGGCCTACAACATTTTTTTTAAAGCATGGTGTCATATTATAGCCAGGCTGGACTTAAACTCACGATAATCCTGCCTCAGCTTCCTGATGACAGGCACACACACCTGGTCCAACAGTCTCAATTCTGCTCTTCTGGGGAGGGAGGCTGGCATGGAAGGAGGCTGCGGCCCCAGCAGCACCAGGAACAGGCCAGGCCTTCCCCACAATGAACGGACTGGAGCCTCACCCTTCCTGGGCATGACAAGCTCATGATGGGGGCCTGGGGCCTCCAATCCTCACATCCAGCTGATGGGATCTGGAGCCCTGGGCCCCAGGCCAGAAGGAGGACGGTGGAAGTAGAGGAGAGGAGTAGGGCTTGGGGACACTGGGTACCTTGGAGCCATGCCTCGCCAGGACCTCCCATTCACCACTGGTCAGCGCAACCTCCTCTTTGATGGGGCACTTAAACTCATCTGGAAGGCAGGACAGGAAAAGAGGTGAGGGACCCCAAACCAATATTTGATGGGGCTGGGAGGATCCAAGAGTGGCCCAGGGGACAGCAGGGTTGGTTGGTCCCAGCTTGCCAATATCACCCTCAGGAATCAGGACTTTAAATTTCCTTTTTGATCTATTTATCTTATTTTTTTGTGTATGAATATTTGGCTGCATGTATAGAAGTGCACCACATGCATGCAATGCCCACAGAGGCCAGAAGAGGGTGTCAGATCCCTTGAAACTGGACTTACAGATGGCGGTTAGCTGCCCTGTAGGTGCTGGGAATTGAACCCAGGTTCTCTGCAAGAGCAGCCAGTGCTCTTGACCACCGAGCCATCTCTTGAGCCTCAGAAATTGGGACTTTAATGGAGTTTACCAGGTTTAGAGAATCCTGGGCACGCCTCCCACTCTGCTCACCTTCCGAGGGGCTGAGCGGCTCCGCCCAATCATAGCCTTTGGATTTGAGCACCACAGTGACCTTGTACAGGTGGCAGAAGCCAGTCTTGCACTCATTGGCTCGAAGAAAACAGAATTCCTGTTGGCCCGCAGCTTGTGGGAAGGGGTGGAAGATGTCATGGACCTGCGGGGAGGCAGTGGTATTAGAGGTGTGAGGCTTCAAGGCTGGCCAGGACTACCATGAGGGGACACTGCCACACTGGCCCTGAGCCCAGCCGCCCGTAGCCCTGTGTCCTGCTGGGGACCCAGGTGTGGGGACCTCAGGGTGCCCAGATCCACTCTCACGTTGATCCAGACGTTGGTGACTTCTTCATATATGACGTGGGGTTGGATATCCTTGGGGATGGCCCTGGCAAAGGCCAGTCGCTGAGCCTCGTTCTCAGGGGACGGGATGAACAGGGCGGGGGGCAGCAGGACGAGCTGGAGTTGCTGCTGGGGACGGTCCAGGAACATGGCCCAGGCACTGGGGGTAACAAGGAGCACGAGAGGCCTGAGTGGCTGCCCAGGGGCAGCAAGGGACAGGGCCATTCAGGGCCAACCTTTATTACAGAGTGTGCTCTTATTTATTTATTTATTTATTTATTTATTTATTTATTTGCTTTTTGGAGTATTTTTGAGACAGGGTCTCCCTATAGCCCCAGCTGGCTGGAACTCACTAGGTAGCCCTTAATCTCAGAGATCTACGTGCCTCTCTGCCTTCCAAGTGCTGAAGTTAAAGGCGTGTGCTACCACGCCTGGCAATCTTTATCTTCTATACGTATTTTGAGGCAAGGTCTCATGTAGTCCAGGCTGGCCTTGACCTGACTATGCAGCCAAGGATGACGCTGAACTCCTGATCCTTCTGCCTCCACCTCCAAAGAACTGGGATGACAGGCGTGTGCCATCACACATGACATCAAATACAATGTTCTGTTCTGTTTTGCTCTGTGCCGGAGATGAGGATGAACCCAGAGCTTGTGCATGCTGAGCAAGTGTTCACCACAGAGCTGCACCCCACAGACCTGCACCCCCACACAGTGCTGCACCCTACAAGGCTGCACCCCACACAGTGCTGCATCCCACAGACCTGCACCCTACAAGGCTGCACCCCACAGAGCTGCACCCCACAGGCCTGCACCCCCACACAGTGCTGCACCCTACAAGGCTGCACCCCTATACAGTGCTGCACCCCACAGTGCTGCACCCCACAGACCTGCACCTCCACACAGTGGTATACCCCACAGAGCTGCACCCCCACACAGTGCTGTACCCCACAACCCTTTCAAATTTTATTTTGAAATAGAATCTTAGGTTCCTGCCAGGCATGATGGCACACGCCTGTAATCCCAGCACATGGGAGGTAGAGGCAGGAGGATTAGTTCAGGGTCATCCTCCACTACATCGTGAATTCAAGGCCAGCCTGGGCTACACGGTAAGAGGAAGGGAAGAGGAGGGGGGTCCAGGGAGTCAGTCTGTGGATTCTGAGTCAATCATCTAGATGTGCAGGAGCCATGCTGAGGGGCCCAGGTGCTCCTGGGCCAACCATGTTATTGTGCATCCTGTCACTTAGTGCTCCTTGTACCCTGGAGCATAGGGAATCGTCCCACCCAGGAACTCCTGTCAGATTGAACTTCAGCCTGAGTCAAAGGCTGTGTCCCGACAGCTGGGGTGGGGAGGGACTCCAAGAGACAAGGTAAAGGTGTGGGGTCCCCACCAGGTTCTATGGCGACACTCACAATCTGCCATCTCGCGTCCATCCAGCCCGGGCGATGTACTCCGCCTTGGGGAAGAGCTGGCTGAAAGGCTGAGCCAGCTCCTTTTCGCAGCTGGACACGATCTGGGGGGACAGGGTTGGGGTCAGGTGCCAGCTGTATGGCACATGGCCTCCCCCATCTCACATCTCTGAGTCCTGTTGGTGGGGACCTCAGTAGGCCACCTGCTTGGAAATTTGGCCTTTGGTGTCACAGGAAAAAGTGGGGCACACTGGGCAGGGGACATAACCTAATGTATCATAGATGGGAGAGACACAGGCAGAGAAGCACAAAGGTGGTATCTTGTGATGACTTGGAGACAATGGCCAGCAAGAGCATCTGTGATAGGTTCTGTCCAGCCATGGAAGGGGGCCATCCCTGCCCACGCCCATCCTGGAATTCAGGCCTGGGGACACAGTATCTCTAGTGTTCAAACTACCATCTGTGGCTCTTTGCCATGGTGACAATTGCTGTACAGGAGCCAGATAGAGGGCAGTAGGCTGGGCTCCATGCCAGACCCAGATGGTTCTAGAAACTCAAGGTTCTGTTCTAGGCCAACATCAAAGAAGCCAAGGTTGAGGCCGCAGAGCTGGCTTAGCAGTTCAGAGCACTGGCTGCTTTTGCAGAGGACCCTGGGTCAGTTCCCAGCACCCACATGGTGGCTAACAACTGTCCGTAACCCCAGTTCCAGGGGATTCGATGCCCTATTCTGGCCTCCACAAGAACTGCACCCATGAGGCATACATACATACATATATGCATATATTTATATATTATTATATATTATATTTATATATTTATAAATTTTTAATTTATATATTATATACTGGGCTGGAGAGATGACTCAGGGGTTAAGAACACTGGTTGTTCTTGCAGAAGACCCGGGTTCAGATCCCAGCACCCACATGGCAGTTAATAGCTGTCTATAACTCCAGTCCCAGGGGATGTGACAGCCTCTTCTGATTTCTGAGGGCATTGCATGACATGGGTGCACTTACCTACATGTAGGCAATACATGCATACACATAAAATAAAAATAATAAATAAAAATAAAAATAAAAACCCAAATAGGCCAAGTGTAGTGGTGCACACCTTTAATCCCAGCACTTGGGAGGCAGAGACAGGGGGATCTCTGTGAGATCAAGGCCAACCTGACTTATATAGTGGGTATGAGGCCAGCTGGGGCTACAGGGAGACCCTGTCTCAAAATATAATCAAACCAAACCAAACCAAAAAAAAGTTTACTAAGGGGAGATAGGAGGGCTCAGTGGGTAAAGGGGCTTGCCACCAAGTGACCTGAGTTTGATCCCAGAACTCACATGGTAGAAGGAAAGAACCTCCTGCAAGTTGTCCTCTGACCTCCACATACACACACAAAATAAAGGTAACAACAAAAAAAACCTTAACCCCAGCACTCAGGAGACAGAGGCAGGCGGATCTCTGTGAGTTTGAGGACAGCCTGGTCTACATAGTGAGTTCCAGGCCAGCTGGGGTTACAAGGAAACCCTGTCCCAAAAAGACCAAAAAAAACAACAACAACAACAACAAAAGAAACCCCAACAATAACAACAACAAAAAAACCCAACAAAAAAAAGCTTGCTAGGCTCTCCATCTGCCCCAGTTCTAGACAGCTGCTATCCCCTGGGCACCAAGCATCCCTCTCAGCCACAGCCCGGGGCCCAGGAGCTGCCTGTGAGTGTCTGTTGGTATCACCTGGAGTTTTTGAATGCTGGGAGCCAGACAATGGCCCTGCAGGTCTCAGGGAGGACATGGTAGATAGGGTACTTCCTGGTGACTCAGCCCAAAGACTCTACTGCCCTTTGCTGTGGTACCCCTTGATGCTGTGAGGCCCTACTGGACATCTCTGGGTAACAATGAGGAGGGACAGAGAAAGATCCAGGACACTTTCCTGCCTGACACAATATGGGCTCAATGTGGTGACCTGTGAACACGGGTACTAGCCCTGAGGCAGGGGTCTGCCTGGTGTGAGCCAGTGACCTGACACCTGCCCCAGTGGACTCTGCTTGCTCTAGACCTATGACCACCAATCTACCAGCTCGGAGGGAGTCACAGCCACCACCACAGGAGTTGACTGAGTCCACTGGATAAACCATGTGTCACACAGTCAGAGGCTGAGAGGAGGGCTACTAGGTATGACCCCTCCCACTCCTTCTGGAAGCTTCTACTCAGCACAAGGTGGAGCATACCTTTCCCTGACCATCAGTCTGGAACTCAGCAAGCTTCAGGGCAATCTTGGGGTTCTTGCTGCCTGTGAGGACAAGAGGCAGATGAGGGTGAGGCTGGTGTATTGCCCAGCTGGGAATATAGCCCAAAGGGAGGTGGCACAGCCTGTGAGCCAAGTTCTGTCCCCAGGTAAGGCTCGCCTGGCATGGCACAAGATCCGGAGGTCAGGGACGATCTGACCTGTGACCTGGAATGTATCTCTGGCAGGTGTGTGTGTGACTGTCACCTGGGGACACAGGCCAGGCTGTGCTGGGAGCTGGGGGACAATGGGATGCAGACACCATTTGGCAGAGCTGAGGTCTGGTGGCAGGGATGGGGCCCACCACCTCATAGTCATGGCACCTGAGGAGCTGTGTGGACACTCTGGAGGTGACGTCATAGGTAGAGACAGCCACCCGTAGTTCTGAGGGCAGGGTCTGAGCTGATGATGCTTTCTTAGGGTGCTGGGATTGAACAGCCACAGGTGACAGCAAGCACTCTGCAGCAAGCCCCAGCCCAGCCTGGGTCGAGGCTCTGGAAGAGGCACCAGGTGCAGCCATGGATACCTGGAAATTGAGGGCTCTAGGCAACAACTGACAAATGCCTTTGCCTGGTCTCTAGGCCTCAGGGACGTATATGTCAAGCATGGGTTTCCCCAGAGAGAACCCTAATGAAGCCTAGATCCGACACAGTGCCCAGGCTGGCCTCAATTTCACAGAGATCTGCCTTCCTCTGCCTCCCAAGTGCTGGGGTGACAGGCATGTGCCACCACACTTGGCTCAGTTTAGTGGTTTCACTGGGAAACGGCCACCTACACTTAGTCCACTGCCTGTGGCTGCTGAGTCCCTGGAAGGTGGTATTGGGCAGTCAGAACAGCCTTGTATTCACTTTTGGTCCCTGCCTAGTGCATCTGGGATGCCTGAGCTCTGTAACAAGACCAGGTTGGGCCACACAGTCTACAGCTTTTTCTTAGCCTGAGCATCCATGTTCCATGTGCCCTGTGTCTCCCCAGGGGTCTGAGCTGGTGCCCTGTGCCAAGCCTGATCCAGAGACTACAGTGGCCACCCACTCCCAGCTGGGACCCACCTGTCCTGGGGTATCGATAGGAATCCGTCTTCCTCTCCTCTAGCGCAGGTGAGGGCACATGGATGACCTCCACCTCCGATTCATCCACCTCCTCGTACAGGACTCGCAGTGTCTTGAGACCTTCAGTGCCTGGGGGGAGAGGGGAACACGAAGGGGCTGGGACTTGGGTCATCTGGCCTGATGCTGCAGGTTCAGGGTGGCCCAATGCTCAGAGTACAACGGGTTCATTTGCTTCAGGGGATGGCTGAGAAGAACCAACACAAAATAGCTGAGAAGCTGCCTGGGGGTGCAATGGCCAAACTGTCTCCTGAAACCACACACTGACACTCTGAGCTATTAGGCCTCAGAGAAAGCCTGCCTTCCCACGCAGAGCCTATGGGGAGTGAAGAGGGTCAAAGGAGGTCATGGGGGACCTCACTACAGTACGACAGGAGATCAGGATGTAGGCACAAACGGGATGCAGAAGACACACAGGAAGATGTGTTCTAGAACCTCAGCCAGAACAAGCTCTGCCATCCCCAGAGCAGAATCCAGAGTGGAACCAAGAATTTTTGTAGTCTGCACCATCGGCCAGTGTGGTTCTGTTATGATGGACCGAAGGCATGCTCACAGGTCATGTGCAAGAGGGTAGAATGACAGCCCAGAATCTCCAGTGAGGAGCTGGGGGCGTGTCTCAGGGTAGAGTGACAGCCTAGAATCCCCAGTGAGGGGCTTGGGGCGTGGCTCAGGGTAGAGTGACAGCCAGAATCCCCAGTGAGGGGCTGGGATGTAAAACTGCTGCATGGGGATCACCTGGTGTTTACCTGCCTGGGTCATGTGGGGTTCTGGAAAGACAGGTTCAGACAATGGAAGGCCTATTGTGTTCCCTGCTGACCTCTGGTGGGTCTTTAAGGGATCTCTAAGTGCTGGTCTGAGACCACGAAGGCCATTTTAGTGAATGAGAGGCGCTGGGCTGGAGGAGTGGGGGAGAGAGAGGAAGGCTACCCACCTTCCCAGGAGGCTGTAGGACACCACCAGCACCCGGTGAAGCGGTCGAACTCTTCCTGGATGACGAAGGTGGCCACACCTGCAGACTTGGGGTCATCCAGGACGCTGGCTGAGCCTGGTGGAGGGGACCTATGAGTGACCTGCAGTCTTCTCAGAGCCAAGTACTACCGCCTGGGTGCCAGGCAGCCCACTCTCTGGGGAGGGGAACCAAGGCACTGCAGGTCACTGATCGGTAGGGGATCTTTCTAGAAAATGCTGGAAAGGCCCATGTGTCCCCTGCCTGGTACACCCTGGACCTCACCCTGGTGACAGAAGGTGAGCCTCCGTTCCTCGCCTGTCTCAATGTTGGCCACCCACAGGTCACTGTTGTTGATGAAGGAGAAGAAGGCGGGGTCTGCCGGGCAGATCTTGGGGTCCATGCGCGGCCCCGAGCACTGGGTCTTGATCTCCAGCGGCTTCATGGGGGTCACCTAGGGCAAAGAGGGCATGTCAACCTCTGTCCCCAGAGTGTCCTCTGTGTCCCTACAGGCAGGGCAGGAACTCACCATGAACCCATTCTTGCCCCCATCCCTGCAGTGGAAAAGGCTGTTGCTGGCCTGGAAGAGAAACAGGCCGCTCTCGCTGTGGAAGTCATAGGATGTGATGCCAAAGACGCCCAGGCGCTTCCGCTCCCGTAACAGCTCCTCTTCCCGAGAGTAGACCCCATGGTGGGGCGTGGCCTGGGGACACACAGGTGACAGGCAAGGCACCCAGCCTGACTCAGTTTCCTCTCACCCTGGGTCTATTTTCCCTTTTATTCTGATTTATTTATTATTAATTTGGTCTTTTTGAGACAGGGTCTCCCTGTAGCCCTAGCTGTCCTGGAACTTACTATGTAGACCAGAATTCACAGAGATCCACCTGCCTCTGCAAGTGCTGAGAGTAAAAGCCTGCACCACCACGCCTGGCCTATTCTTATTTATTTTTATTTTATGTGGAAAAGTATATTGCCTGCATATAAGTGCATCTGTGCACACAATGCCCATGAAGACCAGAAGAGGGCATTGGATCCCCTGGGACTGGAGTTGGGGACAGCTGTTAGTCCCAATGTGGGTGCTGGGAATCAAACCCAGGTCCTCTGCAAGAGCAGCCACTGCTCTTAACCCCTAAGCCAGCTTTCCAGTCCCTTTTTTATTTTGAGACAAGATCTCCTGAAGCCCAGACTGACCCTCAACTCCCTATGTAGCCAGGGATGACTCTAAACTCCTGATCCTCTGGTGGCCACCTCCCAAATGCTGGGATGACAGGCATGTGTCACCATACCTGGTTTATGGGGTGCTTGGGATGTTACCCAGGGCCCTATGCGTGCTAGGTAACCTCTGCCCACTGAGTGCTGTGGATTGTTAGAAGGGAGAATGGGGCTGGGGTAGAGCTCAGTGGTGGGGTGCAGGCTGAACTTGCTGAGACCCCAGGTCCCATGCCCAGTGCTGCATGCTGTGCAGATTTACACAAATATGGTAAGTTCAATGTGGGGACTAAGAGGGGAGTAAATTTGGTGCGATCTCCCCAGTAGCCACAGTCTTTGTTCCACTGAGGGCTGGCTTTGCTCCAGGGCCTTTACACATGGTGGGCAGGCACTCACCACTGAGCTGGGTCCCCCACCCCAGCTTTATGTGACATTTATTTATTTATTTATTGAGACAGGGTCTCACTATGTAGCCCCGCTGACCTGGAACTCTATGTAGCCCAGGCTGGGCTGGATCTCTCAGAGATCTACCTGCCTCTGCCTCCCAAGTACTGAGATTAAAAGTGTGTGTCACCACACCAAGCTTATGTGACTTTACAGTTAAAACAAAGGGCAGTGACACTGATCATTAGCCAGTCCCTGAGGGTCATTCCTAATTTCAAGGTGCAGACTGAAGGAAGAGATGAATTCAGTAACTGATCACAGCTCCCATGGGAGGCCAGGCCCCTGCGGGGGATGAGCTTCGGGTGGGGAGACCGGGGAGACCGGGTGGCCTCCGCCCCCTGCCGCCTTCCCTCCCCTGGCCCCTGGGAGGCGCGGCTCACCTGGAAGTGGTCCAGCATTTGCTTCCAGGACAGGAGCAGTAAGGCTTCTTTTCGAACCTTCCTAGGGATCTCAGAATAAAGGAGGGAGTTCTCCCGGCTGCCGTATGGCATTCCTGGGAGGACAGGAGAAAATTCTAAAGTAAGAGGCCCTGCCCAGTTCACGGAGAGGGTATTGGGCCATGGCTATTTTGTTTCATAGTCTTAGACTTGTGTCTGGTCACTGTGTGCATCGGAGGCTAGAGATGGACACGAGTGTCTTCCTCGGTCACCCTCCGCCTTGTTTTTATTTTTTTAATTTTTTTTTGAGACAGGGTCTCCTGGAATGCCTAGCTGGCCTGGAATTCACTATGTAATCCAGGACCCCCGTGGTGGAACTTTCAACTTCTCAAAGTTGTCCTGTGACCTCCACACATGTGCTGTTGAACACATGTCCCACACACAAAATAAATCATGTAAGAAGTGTGGGTTATCTGTCCACCTTACTGCAAGGTGTGCTGTGGCCTGCAGTCTGGGACAGTGCTGTCCACAGCTACCAAATAGGAAGTTCAAGGTGCATCCTGCCCAAGGACATGGGGGACACTTCCCCTCTACAGTTGATTAAGAAGCAATCACTCCAAGTGCACCAGGCAACGCATTCCTGGATGGGCCACCAAATTGGTACCTTAGCCAAGGATGCCTGGCACTGGAAGCCCAGGGTGAGGCCATGTACACTTATCAGCTCTGTGCTCACACACCTTGCCCACTCTGACTTGTCATCTTCCCCAATCATGGGGGGGTGCCCCAGGCTGCACTCACTGACTGCTCACCCTGGGGTGTGGTCTGGCAGGGACAGACCTGGGCCAGGGAGTTTCATCTTCACCCAGGGACCAGAGACAAAAGTCCAGGTCTCTGTCTGAGACCCCAAGGCCTTCTCGACTTGACAGAAGGGGCCGCTGGCATGGTGGGAGGCGGCAGGTCCCTTTCAGGGTCAGCCCATCTGGTGGGCTTCAAGGGAACCCTCACAGAGGACCCACGACCAGCTCTGTGTGCCCCATGCAGCAAAGCTGGGGTGTGTGAGGACATAGGAGTCCTTATGGTGGTGGGAGTCAGGCTGCACTCAGGGCAGCAGGGGGCCTCCAGCCTGGACTCTACAGGGTGAGGCTTCCCACAAAGATGTGGTGTAAAGACTTGGGATGACAGCTGGGTATGGTGGTGCACACCTTTAACCTCAGCACTCAGGGTCAGAAGCAGGCAGATCTCTGAGATCCAGGCTCACTTGGTCTACATAGTGAGTTCCAGGCCAGCTGTGGCTACAGGGAGACCCTGTCCCCAAAAAATAAATACTTGGGAGATCTGGTGAGACCAGTCCCTGAGGATCAGAAGTTCATCTGAGGCCAGCGCTGCCTGGTCAGTGTCAAGTGACTCAACATGGCGCTATAGGCTCTAGTGGCCCAGCGGGAGCACAACTCTGTCCATAACCATGCAGGGGACCCAGAACAGAGCTTGGGCAGTGAGTGGCCTTAGCTGGATACTGTGGCAGTGTGGAGAACCTTCTTCCAGTGGGGCCCATGGCAGACATAGCTACACAGATGGTGCCTAATCTTTAAGGCTCAGAATCCATTTATTTATTTA